ACTTTACAATTGCTCCAATAAACCAGTGAATGCACTGTCTTTTTCTATTTGAGTGTGCTCCTACGTTTATTTTATATCATCAACACTCTGCATGTTGGAGTGGACTATTTAATTATTTTTTATTATGCCAAATGTTGGGGGGTGGGGGGTGTTGACATAGTTTTTTGGAGGGGTGGTCATTTTGTTTGGGGGAGGAGTTATAGCTAATATTGGGGAGGGGGGTAGCACCCCCCCCCCACAAAATCCGTCTATGCTTTTTAATCTAAAGAGTTAACTTAGGTAACTGAGGAGTGACTCAGATTAGCAAGCAAGTCTCCAGGTCTATTGTTCTTGCAATTTTGTATACATAGCTATTTCAATAAAGGTTGTCCCCAAGCAAAGCAGAAAACTGGAATACAAGTGCGAAAGGCTGCTGAAAATCGCTAATAAATTCATTTATATTTCTGTATACACCACATATAATACTTAGAGTGATGCTTACATTCTCAATATGTAAGTAAACTTTTACAGATTACTAGCTGTATAAGAATGTATATATGATGGATCTCCAGTGGCATTTGCATGATGTGTTTGGAACATTGTTTAATGTGCATTATAAAGAAATCTATGGACTTTGAACAAACGGTTTGTCAGATACTGTAATATTGCTTGTCATGTGGAAAGAGTTGAAAAATTACTGCTTCAGGTCTTCAGGAGAACTTAAATTTGCTACAACACAATGCTGTGCAATCAGAACTACACCTAGTTGTATAACACTGGCTGAAAAAATAACTTGTATAAATTGACTATAATTTGATGTTTTGTATGTTACTCTGAGTGTATATTCACACCGGGCCATCGTGGGAATCGAACCCGCAACCTTTGGGATACTAGTCCAATGCTGTGCTAACTGCATATACACTCAGAGTGACATCAAAAACAATATTCAGCTGAGTACCTGTACATATAAACACCCAAACAACACATTCTTAATAAGAAAATTATTTTTAAGAAAAATTTCTTGATTTGAGAAATTATTTTCTTAAAATAAGAAATTATTTTCTTATTTTAAGAAAATTTTCTTATTTCAAGATTTTTTTTTCTTGGGAGAATAACAAGAAAATTTTCTTAATAAGAAAATTCTTTTTAAGAAAAATTTCTTGTTTTGAGAAATTATTTTCTTAAAATAAGAAATTATTTTCTTATTTTAAGAAAATTTTCTTATTTCAAGAATTTTTTTTCTTGGGAGAATAACAAGAAAATTTTCTTAATAAGAAAATTCTTTTTAAGAAAAATTTCTTGTTTTGAGAAATTATTTTCTTTAAATAAGAAATTATTTTCTTATTTTAAGAAAATTTTCTTATTTCAAGAAAACTTTTTTCTTGGGAGAATAACAAGAAAATTTTCTTAATAAGAAAAAAAAATTCTTGATTTGAGAAAATATTTTCTTAAAATAAGAAAATATTTTCTCAATTTAAGAATTTTTTCTCAAGAAAATTTTCTTAATAAGAAAAATTTTCTTAAGAAAATTTTCTTATTAAGAAAATGTTCTTGTTATTCTCCCAAGAAAATATTTTCTTATTTCAAGAAAATTTTCTTAAAACAAGTTTTTTTTTTCTTAAAATAAGAAAATGATTTTTTGCTGTGTAGCTACTTACCCCTATTTTCTCAACTTCTTTAGTGTGTGCATGCTTGTTACGTTTTAAGTACGAGTTCGTGCATTTAGCTATCACTTTAAAGAGTTTAATTTTTTCGTTTTGCAAATGTCGAGATTTTGGCCGAGTTTGTTTTTCGCCTTTTTTAGCCTTTTTAATCGAGTTTTTCGATTAAATTTTGAATCTAAACTTTTGTCTATGTAGACTGGATGATGGAAATGGTTTGTCTCTTTTTTTTGCAGATATATATTTTAAAGATTTCAACGACATTGGGATTCTTTTGCGTGCATTTTTATTCGACTATTTAACGTAAACTTTATTTAATTAGTAGCAATTCGGGAAGCCATTTTGTGTTAGAAATTTTGGACTGTTAAGCATTTTTCTTTCTTTTAATTAGCCAAACGTTTCTTGTATAGCAACCCCTTACTTTTACGACATGTTTTTTTACTTTTTTAACTCATTATTCTTGGGAGTTCGCAACACTGAGTAGTTGTCTACAAGGCCGAGGCGAAATGTCGCCAAAGAAAGCCATTTATTAAACGCACTTTTCGTTAAAGTTATTATTTAACATAAGAATTAAATAAAAAATTAAGTTTTCTTTCTGTGGTTTATACTAAAACAATTAGACAACTCAGCCTCGTTGTTTCTGAACAAATAGTCAACTCGGTTTTGCCTTGTTGACTATTCTCTCATAGACAACTCGACTTCGTTGTGTAATTGTTAGATAGTTACTCGGAAAAAAAATAAAAAATCAGAGTGGTTCCATTTCAATGCCGCAACGCAGATTCTTCGTACCAGAGTGTCCGGTAAACGGGGTAACCCTCTTTCATGATATTTGATACACATCAACTTTATACATCTTAATTGAATTGGTTTAAATTCCGGTCATAGAACACTTTTACCCCGGCCAAACAAATTTGTCAAACTCCCAATGCAAAAGCCTTTGAATATTTCACCTTAACATTCACAGTTTGAGAAACAAATTGGATGAACTTGGTGTCTTCTGTGGTGCAAACAAGGCTCGTGTATTGCCTATAACTGAAACGAGGCTGTACGATTCTTTTACAACATACGAAGTCTCTCCCGGGCTATCAACTGATTAGAATGGACAGAAACTCTAAGGGAGGAGGTGTAGCCGAAAACCTATATACGGTCCAAACGTATTGATTATCTGCTAATTGTCGACTACGATGTCTACGTTGAAGCGCTCTGGTTGGGAGTTTCGCAACTTTCGTTTCTAGAATATTTTACTTAAATCCTACAATTTTTTTTCATTACATTGAACAAGCATTGAAGTCATTTGGAAAGGAAAGCCTTGAAATCATTTTGACTAGCAGGGATTGGGAACCAGTTCTAGCTCCAAAAATCGTATGCATGACCAGCGTGATCTTGGACACAAGAGAGCTTAGCCTATTGAAATCATCAAAACAAAGAAAGAGTTACACTGCAACAACTGTAGAAGATTGGCTAAGAACGTGAATGCCAAAATGCGGAAAGAAAAAAGCAGTGATCATGCACACTGCCTGGTAGGCGAACATTAAATGGAATGTGGCAAGCATCATTAAATAAAATGTTAATCAAACAAGAAAAATTCGACCTCTGGAATTACAAATGAACCATCTCTCTAGGCTTAAATCTATTAATAGTCTTAGTTTGGACGCTATTCCTGCAAGACGTCTCAGAAATGCTGCTCCATCTGTTGCCATACCATACACGAAGCTGATAAAGGCCCTGTCACACTATTGCGTATGAGAGAAACGTATGAGAAGCGTATGAAAATTAATGAAATAATTTTCATACGCACAAAAATCCTTTGAAATGCCAGCGTTTGAGTACCGTATATCTGGCGTACCTCTAACGTATTTTGCGTGTGCTTATCGTATAAAACGTACGTCCGATACGCACAAAATTTTTTTGAGTATGCTTAAAAAAATTTTCTGACTCGCCGTATGCCTGCGTATGCCACCGTATGCGACCGTGCTTAAAACGTATACAACCTATGCCTAACGTACCCCTAGCGTATGCCGGCGTATGAGTGATATTTTTCATACGCTGGCATACGCTAGTACGATACGCAATAGTGTGACAGGGCCTTAAGTCAGTCTTTTTTCCTTTGCAATGGTATTCCAATATGAAGTTCCAAATTTATTCCAATATGAAGTTAGGGAATAAAAACGACTTGAATCATTTTCAAAAAACAATTTGGGTGTAAATAAAAGATCTTGTGTTTCTTAGAAAGTTCCCAAATTATCTCGGTCCAACTATGAGGATAAGGAGAAATTGCTTGCTAAATTTCAGGATTTTTTTCAAATTTGGCCGCCATTTTGGTACTTTCCATGCAGACGCGGATTTGTCAGGGCCCTCACTTTTTGACGTCATTGTGTGCTTCTGAGGTTTTTCGATAGCGCGAGCTATAGTTTTGTATGGCGATATTAGTATGAATGTTGACTATTTTTCGTTTTCAAACGATTCTTATTCGTCACTAAAAACAAATTGTGTAGGGCGAGTTACCACCGTCGAAGTCAAAAGGTGTCAGGTTTAACATTACTGGGCCTTTGACAGTGGATAAATTATAATTATCATGGTTGCTAGCATCAAACGCACGCAAAGCCATTAGTCAAGGATCTGTTTTGTGAAAACACCTTATTTAATTAAGGAGTTGGTTCAACCGACTCAAAAGAAAAGGTCTGACACCAGTTTCCTACAGAACAATAAGTGCTCTTTAAGACTAATACTATGTAGTCTCGAATTGTGGTACCAATAATCGTATAGTATATCTGGGGTTCTTTACCCGCTATCGTACTCGCATTAAACTCAACATCAAAACGAGGTTACAGCACTATTTACCGTTCAAATCTATATTCTGTGATCTAAATACCCCAAAAACTATCAAACGATCAAGGGTTGGTCTGTGCTTAACATTTGTTGGACTACATAGCAACAAATCACGTCACATGATTTGTCACGTGACTGCTTTTCGTCAAAAATCCGCTTTTCTGTCAACTTCTGTACGTTTAAATTCAGGTTAAGACGTTACTTATGGTTTGATTCACATAATAATAATTTATAGCAACACTTTTGGTCGTATTCTGTCCCATTTCGTCAAAAAATTCATTTCCATTGAAAAACGTTAAAGAAATAGTCGAAATAAGCACATCTCTATAAACTTGTACCCAGGCTCTTTGCTCGGCCGCTCCCTACCTGAAACCCTATAACGTGCCAAATTTGCGAAAATAAAGAAAGCTTTTAAAACATTATAATACATCACTAAACAATAGACTGTAGTGTGTCTCGAAATTTTACTGAATTAACATATTTTACCGTAATATCTACTTTTCCACACAACATTGTCCAGTGTTAATTTTGTCATTCAGTCTCGGAGTCACTGGGGTCACCGTAGACATAGGATTCTTCGTCGAAAGGGTTGCTGCATCCTTCGTCGGCCATGCATAAACAAGCTTCGGTACATGCAAGGTCATTTCTCTTGCAGGAACAATTCCGTTTACACTCGGAAGTTGTGCAGCGGCATGTTGTCAACTCCACTATGCCTTCTGGGGCGGGATTTCGTGTCATCAACACAGGAACTAACTTTCCATCTTCCAATTTCCAACCATTTCCTGCTGGCGAGGGCATGCTTTGAAATGGATGTAAGGCTCTGTTCCAAACACATGCTTGGAAATTTGCTCTCTTGATGTGATGAGAAAGGCTTTCTGATATGGGAGGGAGTTCTTCACTCTTCAAACTTCGTTGACAAAACAGAAAGTATCGGGCATCATTAGAATTCAAAAATTCTTGTGCTGACGTGTAAATGGAGCAGATGAAAGATTCAGCGACTTTCTGTTCAAACTCTTCAATGACCGGATTTTTACCAAAATTGCTGAGGTCCTACTGTATCTGCTCATTCTTGAGCAGCACATTCCAGGCTTTCTTCTTTCCTATTCCAGACAAGGCACTGGTGGAGTCACATCCTGTCAGCGCGTGAAACGATAGCAGACACTTGGAAGAAAGTCGGCCAAAGGAAAGGTGAATGTCATGGATGGTCATGTATCGCTGTCTGTCCTTTACACCAGTTTTAAACCATAACTCTTGGCACGACAAATCTTCAAAGTGTGCTATTGAAAGCACAGCGACATCGGTGTCTGGTGATTGTATCACAATCCTTGGGTGGGTGTTGGCAGCATGTTTGGCATGAAGCAGAAGCCTGGTGTCCGCTTCTTCGTGATCTGAGCGTAGATTATGCTCAACAGCCACTGAGCTTTGAGTTAACGACACTGTCTTTGATCCGTCCCTAACTCCGCCAGCCAAGACGACCTTTTCCGACGAGCTTAAACGTTGTTGTAGCTGTTCACTTAAAGTTTCACAAAGAAAATCGGCCAGGTTTTCTTTGTTCTTCGGTTTTGAAATGTATTTCGCCCATTGCTTCGGAACTCGCGTTGATCCACTGTGGATGATTACTTCTAGGGAGCTTGATTCCCCTCTCTTTGTGCGTTCGTCAGCCTTCACTGAAACAGAGGGATATTGGTCGAAAATTAAGTCCACTCTTGTGCAGCTGGGTCGGTGTAATGCGGTCAAGACAATCTCTTTGTACTTCTTAGACAGCTCCTTATACGTTGAACACCCTGCAGACTTGATCTTCTGTATAAGAGACATTGCATCAATTAGACAGGCTGAAGGAAACTGTGAAGCAGGCAGGCTTGAACTGCAATTGACATCCTTTTCTAAGAGCGGCATTAAGGTGCTTTTAGTCGTTTTCCGAAAACTACCGTCAGGGTGTGCAAGTGCAATAGGCACACTGCACAGTTCATAAGAAAGCACTTCTATCAGATTGATATCCCTGTTTTTTTGCGGCTGCGAGAAGGCGACCGAAAAGCTTGGCTCTTTATTGTAACATTCTTTGCCACTGAACTGAACGATTTGATTTTGAGCTTATGAATTGGATCCCAGAAATTAATTTCTTTACTCTGAACTCTAGATGAAACAAAGCCCTCCATGCTTTGTTTTCCTAACTCTGCTGCGTCAAGAAGTCTTTTAGCCTCAGCATCTGGTAGAACAACACCTGTGGCAAGATTACTCAAAGGTAACGGTTCTTCGTTGTCCATAATGTCATCAGGAATGTGAAAATGGTCACTGAGGAGTTTACCGTTGAACGTAGCAAGTAGCTTCTACACATCGTTTTCATCTCTTGTTACTCTTGTCGCACTTGTTTCTTTGTGCGTTCCGATCCTGTCGCAATTCTGTATCCCACACATGTTCTTGAGTTCTTGTGTTATTGCCGCTCTCTCATGACTGGTTAAAAACCATTTATCTACCGCATTTTCGTTGGTACTCATGCCTATTATGCCGCCTTTCGAATTCGAATCCAGATTGATTGATTGCTCCAGGGCCATGTCGGGCCAAACTTGTGCAAACGGTTGCTTCGAACGGCTCACACTATGACTTCCTGCCATGAACTCTTGATAGACTTCAGGATGGTGCGATTCCAACAAGTTCATATCGGAAAGGTAAACGGGCAGCCATCGAGCGTAGTTGACCCTGTCCATGGAAAAGAAATGGGGAACCATCGCGGCAGTAGCGGAGAGATGAAGCTTACAGTTCCCAGTTCGTTCAGCTTTAACAAACTGCAAGAGCAACAGCACCATGTTGATATAATCTTCCCAGAAGTTGAATACCTTGGACTTCTTTCTGCTCTCTAACTTGAAAGTGTCAAGTAGTACCATCAAAGGCTCGATACAACCTTGAAATGACGACCAATTATCCGCGAAGAAATCTTCCTATTTAACTGTGTTCCGGCATTCTTTACTTCTGCAGAGAATAAGTTGCTTTGGCCCGTTCTCTAGTCCAACTTCTTCCCTTGTCAGCCATTCCACGAAAGCTTGCCACAAAAGTCTGAAGAGCGCTTCCATGGTAAGCTTGTGCGCCCGAATCCCTCGATTGTAAGACTTGCCAAGCATAATTACTGAAGTGGTGCCAACTGCATAAACTCCAGATTCAATCAGCATGTCTTCTAAGCCCGATTGTGCATATTTCTTTCCCAGGAGAGAGAGATAGTTTAGCGCGATGTGGAAGCCGCCCATTCTGATAACGGTACTCTGAAATTCCTCTGGGTATTTCATTTGTAATTGTTTAGCTTTTGCATAAAGAGCTAGATCGAAAGGGACCACTGAGTCGCACTGTCCTAAGGTGTTACATATTTTCTGTGCCAGTTTCATCAAGGTGTATAGGGTGCTGAAATTGCTTGATTCTGCATTGATCATTGGATGATAACCTGTGACAGTCTCCACTGGTAAGCTAGGATATGTAATAGCATTGAATCCACTCCATCCTGGTATACTCTGCTCTTCCGGCGTTTGTTGGTTGCACACCATAAAAGGATCAGAAAGACGAAGTAGCATCCAGCAGAGATCAGCCGTGCAGCAGGACGGTAGCTGACGGTCAGATTGAAGGTAAGTGATAACATCGTTCCCTACATAGTCAGCAAGAGTGGGTCGCCTGCCACCTACAGAACATTCACTTCTTCTATGACAACCAGATTACGAGTTGAATCCAGCGACCTCTTCTTTTTGGAATGATCGGCGTGCACAACGCGCGCTGGCTTGGGTCCGTACTGCTTGCGCTGGTATATAGCCATTGCCGTTGCATGCGTTGTCTTCTTCCCGTCGAGCGTCTCTTCATTAATATCGTTGTTGTCAGCCGCCATTTGTATAAACACACCAGGATTTATGTTAGTTGGGATTATAACACCACTAGTCTTTGATCTCGCTAAACTTTCATTGGCCAGGCTCGTCTCCACTTGTTCAATTTCCACGTACGAAGAACAGTGACCCATTCTGTTCAACAGAGTTTCCAACTGTTTTGAACCAGTTATGTGCTTGACTGACATGGCAAGCGCTCCGTGCTTAGGAAGCTTTGCTCTTGCATGTGATACGCAGTGAACGATATCTTGTGCGACCATTATAATCTTGCGCTCATCTGCAGGAATTCTTGCACTTGAAGATGAAGTGCGGTCGCTATACTGCTCTCCAGTCATGATCCATCTTAAAAGCCAGTAGAGATTTTGGGGAAGAAGTTCTTTTGCAGTATCGAGGTTTAAATCACTGATATCCAGTGGATTGATGTCAATGCCCTTACATTTCATTACCTCTTGTCTCACTTGAGTTGCTATAGCATAGATGTCGAAGAATTCGGACGTGGATGCGTTCATTTTTTCCTTGGATATACAGCTTGTCGTGTCTGGTGGCGGAGAGTTGATTGCCGCATTTATGATATCAACCAAAGATATGGAACTGCTATACACTATCTCCGGTTTGGATTGTTGAGGTGGCTGGTGGAACACAAGGTTTTCCTTATAATGGGCCACTAATCGCGCTTTCAGCTTTTGCTTCGTGTAGCTTTCTCCCGCATTGCATAGTTTTCTAACTCCTTTTTAAACATAGCTAAAAGAATGTTCATGTCGTAGGCCTTGCCGTTATTTATTTCAGTCGTTATGGTCTTTACCAGTTGGTTAAAGGCTTCATCAAAAGGGTTTTCATCAATTGTGGAAGTATCGCGCCGCATGCGTTTAATATTTACTTTGCTGACATAAGAAGCATGACATGCTTTGTGGTATTTCCCTCCTGCTGCGATAAGATCATAATTAACTGATTGAAGTACGTCAAGCAGTTGGTGATCCACTCGTGCTTCTACAGATTCTTTTATGGTGCTACATGCTTCAAAGGTGACAATATTTATAAGATTTCTGTCCTTCTTACGTGTTGCGTTCCTGCAGAACATACACTTCGATCAATCAAATAATGTGCCGCCTCGTTTCCCAACTTTGACATCAACAGGATTATTTGACGTTTTGGATTCTGAAAATTTTAGGTTTTGCTTACTGGTGAATGCTTCGTAACAGGACGAGTGCCACAAAACGTTTTTTTTCCTCCACATGACAAAGATCATTAGGTGTGAGGCGTTGCGACACCTGAAAATGTTTAAGAATAATTTAAACGTAGAAAAACGCCGACCAGAAGGCGTTTACGTGGGCGATTTGATTAGGAGACTCGCTGGCCGTGTAATATGTAAAATATGGAGCAATAAACAAAACACATGCTATCATACGATACCTCATCTTGTCGTTGCTTAAGTGCAGAAACTACTTTCTCTAGTGAAGAAGGCTCTGCAACACGCAGATTGGCATTACCCGTTGGGCAAAAAATACACTTGTCGAAACAGGTCAGTTTCTTCAATCTTTTAGCTGGTTTTGGAAGGAGCTGCCAGCCATCGTCATCCATCCTTTTGAAATCATTTTTGCTGCATATTATTACCTGTGTACAGATTATGTTATGTGAAATAAAAGTTTTGATCTTATTTTATCGCTTTTGACCGACTACGGAAACAAAATAATCTATTTTTTATCAAAAAGCTTTGTTTACAAATATACTACCGGGTGTCCCAAAAAAACCTTGCGCTGTTTGATTTCGTGGAAGGTAAAAACTATAAAATCTATTACACTCAAATAAATTTTATTGTATTCAGGAAAGGCTAACTTAGATTTTCATATACAACCCTAAAAATTTCATTTAATATTACGTGAGATGCAAATGTTTGAATTGGGCGCACGCTTTAAAAATGAGTAAATAAATCGAGAAACATGGCTGATCAAATTTATATGAAAACAATTGCTATTTTCCACAAACATTAACAATTTCAATTTTAGCATTTCAACTCAACTTTAATTTCGGGTAAAGTTCTAAACACGTTCTACTATAGGGTCCAATATTCTATTTAACAGAATTTGAGAGGAAAATGATAGAAAACACTAAAAAATGCAATGAATACAGCCATGACTGTGGAGAAATTATACATAAATGCAATAATTCTGCATGAAAACAAGAATTCCTTTTCAAACATGATAAAAATTGGTTAAAAACATAAGAATAATTGCAAATGTGGACAATGACAGATTTCATGTTTTAATAGGAAAATCACATCAAATGCATGTTAAAATTGACTGAAAATATATTCAGCAAAAACATACGCATTTTGCAACAATTTTAGCTTTTCCAAGTTGCAAGATATGACTAAAATGATACTAAATCTCTAAGAGGAATAAATTGCTAAAAAAATTGGGCAAAATTTATTGTTTTTAGCAAAGTGAGTAAAATGCATGTGAATAAAAGGGAAAAAAAGAGGAAAATGTTATAGTTCCAAAACATGTCTGGAGGCAGCCACAGTCAGTGAAAATTATATATCAAAAACATGCCACCTTCGATATATCGAAAACTCTAAACTATCCAATGCTTCGATATATCGAAAGAATGCCATTTATTCGATATATCGAAAGATTGCAATTTCCTTGATATATCGAAAGAATGCAATTTCTTCGATATATCGAAAGAATGCATGTCTTCAATATATTAAAAGAATGCCATTTCTTCGATATATCGAAAGAATGCCATTTCTTCGGTATATCGAAAGAATGCCATTTCTTCGATATATCGAAAGAATGCCATTTCTTCGACATATCGAAAGGTTGCAATTTCCTCAATATATCGAAAGATTGCGCGCAATTACCTCGATATATCGAAAACTAAACTATCCATGGCTTCTATATATTGAAAGAATGCCATTTCTTTGATATATCAAAAGATTGCCATTTTTCAATATGTCGAAAACTCTAAACTATCCATGGTTTCGATACATCAAAGAAATGGCATTGTTTCAATATATCGCAGAAATGACATTCTGTCAAATACAATATGTGAAAAACCAAAAGGATGTCATGTCTTGCCAAAGGATGTCACGTCTTGCCCAAACAATCCATGTTTTGAATATTGATAGTAAAACAACAAAGTAGGGCACAATTCAGCTCAATGGGTTAGGAATATGGTATACACTCAAAATATAACACATTTTACGATAGGGTTGCATATTCTATTTAGCTATAATCAAAATAATCACATGTACAGTCAGGGTCGCCAAGAGGGGGGGGGGGGGAATTGCCCTGGGCCCCCACCTTAATAGGGCCCCAACTTGAGACCAAGAGCCTAAAATTGAGTAGGTTCTATAAAGAGCATTTTTGAAATTGAGGGCTACTTACAGTACCTCCACAAGTAGTATAGCAACTAGCGTAGCGAGACCACTAGTTTTTGAGCGAGACCACTAGTTTTTAATCTTTAGTAAAAAGTATTTATTTTTTATTATATTAAAATTAATGGTTGGTCCATTTAATTAGAATGTGAAACTGCTATTCTTGTTTTTTCATTTAACTTATCTCAGAGCTTCGGGGTCCAGCTGAGACTCTAGTACGATTATCCTACACTTCCCAATATCGTCCAATTCCTTTATTCTAAAGCCTCTTCAACAACTTTTATTTTCTCCTTGGGGGTACACAAGGCAGGGGGCCCTTGTGGTCCGGATACACTGTTGGCATCATTCTTTTCACCCTGTGTGGTCACCTCAACCTTAATATCATTGGATACAGAGAAATTTATATCACCAACCTTCCCATTTTTGTTAGACCTCCTACGACAGCCACAGATATTACCCAAACAGGAGAAGCATGAGCGCCACTTTGACATGATACTTTATGATACAACACATGTTATACACCTGACCCTAAATACCGTAATGACCAGCAAAAAGACAAGTCCATACTTGAACCAGTTGGCATTGAGTGTTCCGGTTTGACTATAATACACCAGGCTAGCGTGTTGTTTACCAACTCAACCTGGTTTCCTAAATAGAACATACTATTACCCTTGAAAACATAGCAAGCTGTACTTCCACCAGTAGTTGTGAAAGTTCCATTGAACCAAGTGTGTGACAGTCTTCTTAAGTCTATTGTACTGAGAACGATTTCCTTTTTAACCTGTGTAAATTTTCCATTAGACTGCTTTTCCCATACAGTAGTCCATAGAATGAGTCCTAAGGGTATATTTAGAACAGTTGAAAAAGTTGGGAAATCTGATTTAATAGTAATTGACTCAAGGTTGAGGTCTGTCATATTATTAATAGGATCTGTTCTCCATGAAGGTGGAATCTGATCTGCCTCGTACCCAGGCGCTTACATGAAGTATTCAGGTAGGCATCCGACGCGCGAAGGGGCTGTTGGGAAGGGTGGTGCTGGGGAGCGCCTGGCAGTTCTTGTATACTGTCATGGCGGGAAAACAGGGAATTTTATACAAAAAGTTACGATATCGTCATATACTCTGTGTGTAAAACCTTACTTTGTGATGAAGAGTTGAATTGAACGCCATTGGCAAATAATAATACATTTGTAGATGTTCGATGACATGCAAAATGCGCGAAAAATTATGAGTAAATAACATGACAAGTTAACTGTGCGAATATTTCGAATATGTCATTCGATATTACATGGAGAATAATAAAATGCTATCAGTCGCTCAGTTAGCTTAAAACAGTAAAGGAGAAATGATTAGAAAGTCATATAATTGCTTTTGTATTAATAACTTCTTTAGCTGAAAGCTCAATCAGTCGATCACAATGCCAATGGCAATTTCTATTAAATGTATACTGTAAACAAAAGCCCAAGTAAATAAAAGTTCACAGCCGTAAAGTTTGAAATATTTATTACAATAGTGCAATTTTATAGTCTGTACCTTTATATAGTTCTAGCTTACAAATCTAGTTCCTGCAAGTCTAGTTCTTCAACGCTTCGGTTGTTGACATGTTAATATTGGAATTTCCATGGACTTTAAGGGCATATATATGTCATATATACCAAGAATAACAGCATGAATTCACGCCCGGTTGACAGAAAAATATTAACATTAGTCAATTCAACAAAAACAAGTAGCAAAAAATCGTAAACGACAACGAAATAGCACAACTTGCAAGAAATCGTACAAATTTGCAAGAAATCGACCAAGAACTGCCAGGCGTCTCGCAGTTCAAGTGCACTCTTCCCATCAGCCCCTTCGCCATCTCTCCCCACGACAATACTTCATGTAAACACGTCATATGGGCATCACTGCTTTTTTACAAAGAGACGCCTGGGTACGAGGCAGGAATCTGATCTTGACAGTAAGCATAGTACCTTGTTGCTGCAACTGATACGCCACCATATCCCCAGATCCACTCTGCGTGAATGTGCCGGTTTATTCTTACGTATCTCTTATCAGCCACTGCTTGTACAAGACCTGAGGAAGGTTTTAGGAAATTCTTTTCTACCCATTGCTTGTTAACTGCATCCTTATCATTTACCGGATCCCTTAGATCAAGAATACCACTTGAATCTCCCATATCCAAATCACCCTTTACCAGTCCACCTCTACTACTCATGAACTCATCAGTTGCCCATTTCTTATTGACAGCAGAACCGTCCGTAGTAGGACTACCTACCCTAGTTAACTCATAGTCGTTAACATCAAGATCACTATCTAAAGTACCACCATTACGCTTCAGGAACTGTTTACACCAGGAGTATATAGTATTAGCAGAAAGTGCACTGGTGTCCCCAACAGACCCACCTTTGAGGCCTGTAATACTATAACCCCCCATGTCAATATTACCTGTCATAGTGAAGCCGCTACTACTAATTGAACTCCCACTAACGTGATCGATGACCCATTTTTTGGAAACAGCAGAATTATCAGTTGTAGGAGCACCTAACTTTATTATTTCATTGTTTCCCATATCAAGGTCATCAGATAGAGTAAGACCACTATAAGTCTCACGCTTACTTTTACCACCACTAATTTTATTTTCGACCCACTTTTTCGTAACAAGTGAATTTGAACTGTCAGGAGTTGCACTGGAATATACCTGGAAATTGTTTGCGTTCATGTTACCGGTTAGGGAAGCGCCATTTTTTTTAAGATACAATCCATCACTAATAGAACGCTCACCTCGTAAAGTTGATACTATATATTTATAGTTAACAGCTGATGAGTCACTAAGAGAAGACCCAACACCATCTATTGTATTTCCACCCATGTGGAGAGTTCCTGTCATTGTGAACCCTGAGGATTTAGCGTACGTAGAATCTAGCGCAGATATTTTATCTTCAACCCATTTTTTTGATGTAACTTCACTGTCAATTTTAGGATCAATAATGTCAAATAACCTCCAACCTCCCATGGATACATCTGCCTGCATTATTCCACCTTTCTTAACAAAGTTATAATCAACCGCCCACTTTTTTGTTACAGCTGACTTATCTTCGGAAGGATCCTTAAGATTTTTAATTTCATGGTCCTTCATGTCAATATCACCAGCAATATCAAGTCCAGATACAGGTTTATTTAACATTCCAACTACCCAGTCCTTA